GTTTAAATCCATTGTGCAGATGTTCATTTGCGCAGATGTAAACGAGGTAGCCGCACACCGAGACCCTTTGGAGGAGGTGGTCTCACTCTGGTTTAAAACAAACTTCGAAGCAGTTCAGTAGTTCAAAGTTTGCATTTTTTTATGCTCCATGTTCTCCAATAATCCAAGTCTTTAAAGTCACCAACTGATTGTTCTAGAGAAAACAAACTAGACGTGTAAGAAACACCCATAGATCTAGAGATGTATTAGCTTTTCTTCAGGAATGCTTCAGGCAGACATGCTTTTTCATTGTTCTCTTGGTTCATTTCCAGAACATAAAAAGAGACTTAACACTGATGAGGGAAGCAATAGTTTCACAGAAACAGAACCACAGCATTCAGAAGACACCAGTATGTGAAAGGTTTCTACTCCATTGTTTGGAAACAGGATGTATGAGAGCAGATGTAATGTGGACACTGTCTCTGTCGATTTACTTCTGATCCAACATGGCTGAGCACGTTATGGTCACACAGGTAAGCAAGCTTGAAGGAAAAGCTGAGCTCTGGTATCTGAAGACAACTTCACTCCACCCAAGTCAACACATATACACTCAGACACACACACACACACACACTATCACAGCCATACTCACGCAAACACACCCACTCTCTGGCAGATCCTTCCTCTCCACAGCAAGAGGGGAAGTGAGGCTGAGTCACGGAGGTGGAGTGAGGAGGAGGGTGTAAGAGTAACGCTGTAAGACTAAGTCGAGGAATAAAGAACTGGATTCTTCTACGGTCTCACTCTGTGGGGCTCTGTGGCATCAAGACGGTACAACCGTTGATAAACATGACTCTGTTTGGTTGGTTTAATGTCAGTTACACAGGAAAAAACCCAAAAGGCACAAACTGATTGTTGGGGGGGAAAAAGAAAAATCTGCACAAAAGCTGGGAAAAGTACCAAAGGCACTCTTCAGGACTCAGGAGTATAAATAACACTCCCAAAATATCTCTGCACACAGAAAGTTATTCAGCCAATTTGTTTTTAATTTTAATAAGTAATCAAGTGTGAAACAATTCTGTAGCTTTAATATGGATTTCATCAAGTGCTTAACAGTCTGTACTAGGGTTGGGCAACATGTAAAAATTTAACGCTAATGCGTTAACACTGACAGCACAAAAAAATATATATAAAGTCGCCAATTTGGAATGAAAGAGGTAAATTTAAGGATGTAACCAAAGCGGTGTCCCGCTTGTGCAGACCTACAGTGCGAGCAAAGTACTCAAACACAGCTAACTTGCATGAGCATGCACGTGGCCACCATCCGGCTGAGTATGCTAGGTTATCACCAGCTTCTGAAGTTCCAGCAACAAGCATTTGGAGGGTGCTGTTAAAACAGCGCTATAATTCTTTTTTCTTTCTATTGACTGGTTCTATTAGCTTCATCTTTATTAGCAAACTTACTCATGGACAAATAATTAAATTGCCCCTTGTAAAAATGATGGCCGATGGGCTCAGCCTATCATTGATAGTCGATATATTCGTCCAATCGTCCAACCCAAGTCTGTACCACTAAATACGACTGTAAATACCATCCTACGAGTATTTCGTATTAAAAATAAGCAAAACAATAAAAAGCTTTGATAAAAGAATAAATATGCTGAATGGTGAGTAAATGCTGAGCCAGGCGGTAGAGTGGGTCGTCTACCAATCAGCAGGCTATCCTCGGGCAAGATACTGAACAGAGTTGCAGCGATGCATGCATCAGTGTGAGCGTGTGAATAACCCTGATTTTGTTTGTGTAATACTTTGCATTACTTCATCCAGGCCTATTACAAAAACTGGAAACTCTACTTAAAACATTAACCTCGTCTTTCATCATGAATTCATTTGGCCCCTCCATGAAATCCATTTTCCAAATCACTAATAACAGGCACACATCCCTTTTTGTGATTTTACAAATGTATGATTTTCATCAACAAAATGTCACAGTTACAATAAAAGACTTTGCATATAGATATATATTTAATCTGGTCCAAGTAAACCATCGCATTGCTGGAAGGGTAATGAGTGCGTTTGCTCGAAATGCCAAGGAATACAGCGAGGACAAGTCCGAGGACAAACCTGACCTGTTGCAGGATGGCTTATGTTGCTGCTGGCTCGCACGGTGGAGAAAACGAACAATTAAACAATGTTTTTCATGGGCGGTACTCACTTTGTCAAGCTTGGATTCCAACTCGCACACATCCCCCTCCACTTCCTCTATGGTGGCTCTGTGAGGACAGAAAATGCAAAGGTTTGAAGTGAAGCGCAACCATGACTCAATACTTCATTGACATTCGGATGCATGAAGTGTGAAACAGAGAAAGAAGGTGCACTCAGAGGCATTCTGCTGGAAAGCATGCATACCCTTCATCTTCATCCCATTATCACAGTTCTCCTTATAACCCTCCTGTGTCTGCAGAGCAGTTAGGTTAATCTCTGTTCCGCATTATGCCACTTATGTTGATCATAAGTAAAAAGGAAGCAATATACTGCATGCCAATATAAGCAACATAATTTAAAGCCACACAGCTTCATCTTTGTCACGTATGCAACTGAAACTGGGTCAAATATTTGCCTTTATTTCAACATCTTGATCATTTTCAGACAGAGAAGAAGAACTTAATTTAATTATAGCCGTTCGGTTCCCCCAACATTCCCGTATTCCACAATTATAGTTTCTGAAAGCTGCAGCTGCAGTAAATGACAATATCCTCCCGTTCGAGCACTGACAAGCACGTGAGACACACAGACAGACGTCTAGAAGCAGACAAACTGAGAGCTGCCATTTTGGGCCTGAAATCAAGTCTGGCGTCCTGCCCTCTAAAATGTGACAGAGACACAGCTCGCCTCTCCACAAGATCGACAGCCTACGAGCTTCAGGATACCACAACAGAGGGAGAAGGATATCAAATACGTCATCCCAGCACAGGATCTGTGGATTAAGCTCCCCTTGATGTTAATTATCGCATTACTACGGCTTTTTTAATGCAGGATAGACAAAGTGGTTGAGTATTTTTTCTAAAACTGCATTTATTTATGCTTAATCTGGAGTAAAGAAATAATAAGAAATAACATGGCAAATGCCAACACTTGATAATGATATATGGATTTATTAGACACAGATGTATCTGCAGAAAAGCAACAAGGTCTTTAACTAAGGTGCATCTAAAACATACAACACAACAGCGCCTTTAGCATTAAAACACCCTTTTAGCTCACATATCCTAGAAAAACACATTTAAAACAGGAGAAAAGCTCTGAAATGATGATGCTAGTGGTGGCACATTATGAAAACTTAATGAATGCGCTGCTGTTAAGCATGTATCATTAGTTATGCAGTGCAGCTCAGATGTGGCCTTTAGATAATGCATGCTTCACATTTATAACCATTTAGCAGCAGTAATCAACACTGAGGCAAGTTTGTTCTTAAGACAATAGCAGCATTAAAACTGTTTACATCTACTAATAAAACAGTATCTGTTTCTTATCGCGGCGATTCTCTCGATTTCAGGCCTATCAGCCAATCGCCCTTAGCATAAACTCACTGAAGATAAGAACAACAGTTTTACATTTCAAATACAATTTATTCTACTGAAGGAAAAAATGCGTCCAACATCATGCAGTGCAGTGCATGAGTGCCATGTGTCAGTGTAAAGCACAGGGATTAAGAATGTCACCCTGCAGTAGCAGCGGACGGCTTTCTCCAAACCCCCTGTAGCTGTTTGTTCTCCCATATGGCATCAAACTAAGTCGTGGACATCTGGTCAGTGCCAGGGATCCCTCAACAGGAGAGGCTTGGATGTATGCGCATACTGAACAGCAGATACTGTGGAGTGCACCTGTATGACTTCATTTTATTGTTATTTACATGTCTTCATCTTTCTTCTGTATGTGAAAGGGATTTTGTTGTTGTTGTTTTAATGCAAGATGCATAGATGCAGCAGTCACAATCGTTAAAACTATAGACTAGAATTAGCTTAAGTTGCTGGCTATGCTACAAGGAGTATAGGATAAACCTGGTGGTAAGGCTAATCTGAATATCGTGCATGAACAGCAAATCCATCACTCAGTAAGTTCAACTGTGGGAATGCCAAAATCAAACTGCTGAGCTTTCAGAAACTGATATATGCCTTATTCAGCTAAATGCCTGAAGAACCTGCCACACAGAGAAGTCCTTTGCTTTGCAACATGTACTTTATTGCACAAGTAATCTCATGTACTTTGATTAATACATGTTAACATAAAATTACATTAGCTGAATAGATCTTTTTTTTATCTTCTGTGCTTCATAATAAGTATAGGAGGAAGGCTTTTGACTTGAAGACAGCAAAGAGTCTTAAACAGCAGTCCAAGTAAAGTCTGTGAACTGAGGTCTTAAGTAGTCCAACAGGGCAGAAACAGGGTCAAAGGCCATAAATGACTGTGCCTCTCTCACACAGATATGAACCGTGGTCAAAAGAACATGCTACAAGCCCCGTTTGTCTTTCTCCGCTGCCACGGGCAAAGAACATTTCTCCAGTGATTCACACAGAATCACCGCTGCTCTGCCGACCGTGTCGAGCGTCCGACTTCAGGAGGATTTGACTTTTGCTTGGTGATGTAGTTAGTACAAACACAAGGAGTACAAACACTTGCCAACACTAAAAACAGAGGGAAGGAAGGGTTAGTTAAAACATGTTTAAGGAAAGCTTTAGTTGGACACTTTACAAAAAAGTGAATTGAATTATTACAATAAAATTACACAATAACAGACTGTGTTTGCCAGTCAGTCAAATTACTATCGGATTATGTGTTATCTAACATCTTGTCAGGCCGGTTCTTGCTTGATAAAAGACACTTGATCTCTCTGCCCAGGGGCAAACAACAACATTTAGTATCCAGGTCACAAGTATGAACTATAATAAACGTCACTGAAATGAGAGAAGACTGGAAAACTCGGATACATTCTCAGGAACAGACCTAGAAACAATTGTTTTAATTGTCAGTCAGTCAGTCACTGTCATGCTTTCCAAGTAACCGCAAGAAGAAGACCATTTCCTTCTAATCTGAAAAGCTGAGCCTGCAAGCTAAACTTGCAAAAGTGCTGACAGGATAAGAAAAGGAGGGGCTGTGGCAAAATGAACATTTGGGCTATTGCCTCATAGCTCTGAACTTGGAGCATATCCAGGCTGAAACTGGATAATGAGCAAAAGAGGAGAAAGCAGAGGAAAGAAGAGGCACAAAGCTTTGGAAACACAAAGATCTACACTGAAGAGTCATAAAATGTGGTCTCTACTAGACTAAAGTCACCAAAATAGACAAAGAAAACTCTCTCTAAAGGATACCTGAATGCAGGTATTTAAATTAATGAGCAAACTCTAAGTGTGGGTTGTACAAGTGCTGCTCTACATAAACAAAGCGATACAAAATCCACTAAGTGACAAAGCCCTCTTTTCTGTACAAAGTCAGGACAGTGTGAACCACGGTCTTATCACAGCCTCATAAGACTCCTTTCAATAGAGTTGTTACCAGGTTAGTTTCATGAATTCTAATGAGTGGTATGACAGTCAAATTTCACACTGCTTTACTTCATAAATCAGCAGGAAACCGGAAAGAAAATGTCAAAAAAGGTCATCTGGGGAAAAAAGGCCAACAACAAAAACAAAACATCATCCTAATTATGAAGCACAGTGGTGGGATCATCACCATGGGGCTACTTTGAAATCACTCAGAGAACCAACTGGTTTTAAAGTGTATCAAAAACAATGTTTATAGGTGAACGTTAGAACAGAAGTTCATGGCCCGAAGCTGAGGAGAGGTTAGATGGCTCCATAAGATTATGTGCTTATCAAACAAATCAACAACAGAAATATTGAAAAATCAAGTAAA